TAATCAAAATTATAAAAACTGCCACATATATACATATTTAAGTCAAACAGACTGCCAATGGTGTACAGAGTGTGTAGAAGTAACACCATAATACATGTTCCACTTAATAATGTCAATTTTTCCTGCTCATTTATACATGTTATTTCATATCACAATTGATTTTCTCTATGACTAGTCACGAGTAGGGAATACTTGCCACTGAGCTAACAATTCCTGCACGTCCATTACGTTATGTTGGCACATTTTCCTTGAATAAGGAACATGCTTGGTCAAGAGTTTGTCAGAAAATTTCATTGACATACAGAATAAACAACAGCAATCGCATATGTCCAACCGTATGACAGAAAATATTTACATTTTAAATTGGCAACTATAGATTGGCCATAAGGCTACCCCCTGTCCTTCTTGGCATGAAGGCAGACAGATGCCTCAGCCCATCTTCGTCTAGCCCTTATTCGATATACAAAAAAGAAAAAACATCTTTTTGTAATCTGACTGTACAGCATCGGGTGAAAAAAAATAACAAAGGAAAACAAACTAGGGTTGTGTTTTAACTGAACTGACCGCCCCCGGTCCGGACTTCTCGCTGTGTGCTAGGGAGCACTCTGCTGGTCCGGGTCCGGGCGCGGCTGCTCTCATAAGGAGACCCGAGTGGCGGCCTGGGTGGGGCCGGCGGGGCACGCGGCGGCCACCCTGTGGTTGGGGAGCGCCCCGCCAGCCCCGCTGCCCGCACTGCCAGCGCCCCCCGACCCTCGCGACCCCCTGGAGCCGCGAGTAGACGGCGCCGAGGTGAGGGAGGTGGGCGTGCTCACGGGCGTGCCGGCCGGCGTGTCGGGCGAGACGGGCGAGCCGGCCACGGCCTCGAGGGAGAACGGCCTGCCTGACAGCCGCGCGTCCCCGTCCCCATCCCCGTCCCCGTCGGCGTCGTCCAGCGCCAGCGCTGAAGACGTGGGTGACGAGGCCGCGGACGAAGGGAAGGACGACGCGCACGGCGACCGTGGGGACGGCGCGCAGGTGCAGGCGGGCGCGCAGGTACACGCGTCCGGGGTGACGGCGCCCAGGGCCGCGCCCAGCGCCGAGCCCAGGGCGGGCAGGATGTCGGACTGGTGCCGCAGTGCGCCGGCCGCGCCCAGTCCATTGGCGTGCTGCGGCCAGGGCTGGGGACCGCCCGCCCGCCGGCGGGACTTGAGGAGGGCGCTGTTGCAGCTCCGCGTCCGCGAGAAGGGCGAGGCCGACCGCGGCACGTCCCCGTTGACGGCCCCCCCGCCCGGACCCCCTCCGGGGTCGCGGGGGCTGCCGCTGGCGCAGCCGTGCCGCAGCGAGGGGGCAGAGTCCTCCACGGGGCCCTGCACCTCGCCATTGGCCAGTGTGTAAGGGTAGGAGAGGGGCACGGACTCGGTTTGCGAGCCGGCCTGTTCGGGACCCGACAGGCTTTGCAGGCTGGTCTGAGTGGACCTGTCCTCGAGTGGCATTCCTGAGAAACAACAATAAAAGAGTTTAGTGACAACTTTTTAATAATGAATTTCACTCGGCTCACATGCTCTCGCTGAATCGCAATAAAGCATCGGATGCCCGAGGCTCACAGAACCCGTTAGACTGTGTAGTTATTATTGTATCAAATGCAGATGCGCCGACAGGTCGCCATTTCCCTCGCCAGGCGCCACAGATAGAGACGCAGAAGCGACACCGCACGCCAGCATGCGGCGGCATCCCGGCCGAGGTGCAACACACATACCTTGACTCTGCGTGCCGCAGTCCACCTTGGGGCAGTGGTGGCGGTCGAGCGCCGTGATGGTGTTGAGGTAGGTGGCGGGCACGCTGTGCACGCCGGGGTGCAGCGAGTTGCTGGCGTGGTTGCCCGTCACCGTGCCCGCCGAGCTCTTGACCGTCGAGTAGCGCATGGCCGGCATCATGGACTGGCGCACGTTGCGCTCGGGGTGAATGAGGATTATGTACAGCTGCACAGACACCGTCACAGACACCGTCAAGGATGAATCACTTTAGTTATAAGGGTGGGGTATTTGTTCCTGGGCACTGTATTCAAGGTTGTGAGTAGCATTGATTTGAAGACCATGACAAACGTATCCCCGTGGGTGGCGTGTTTCCTCACGGGCCAACTTTATCCAAGCGTCTAATGCAAGAGATGTAGTAATAATTCGCTATCTTTCTTGGCTTTGACGTTCATCATGAGTGAAATAAAGAAAAATGACCAGGAACGAAAACCACAACTTTCCAATCCCTGGTTAATTGTGTACCACCAACCCAAAGTTGTTCTACCACCAGCCCAAAGTTTTATCGTTGTACACAACACCTTACCTTGGGGGAGAAGAGGCACGCCAGCGTGACGGACGCGGACAGCGAGATGGTGACCGACATGGACGTGATTCTCAGCGGGACGTGGTTGGCAGTGCCGAAGTACAGCGGGACGAACGCGAGCCAGATGACGCACGTGGTGTACATGGTGAACCCTGCCGGCAGGAGCGCTCGGTCAGTACGTGCTCGTGTGTGCAGAGTTAGCAGAGTGTGTCGTCGAGCGGAGGACTCACCGATGTACTTGGATTCGCTGAACGCCTCGGGTATCTTCCTGGTGAGCACGGCGTAGACGGTGCACACGATGATGAGCAGGATGGGGTAGCCGAAGGCGATCATGTACGAGGCGTCGATGTGCGACTTGCACACCAGGTGGTTGTCCTCGCGCGTCGGGTGGTGGTGCATGGCCATGGGCGGCTTCACCATGATCCACACCACGTTGACGAGCACCTGCACGGAGACGAGGAAGAAGCAGATGAGCAGCTGCGACTTGGGGCTGATGAACGAGGGCCGCTTGGCGGTGCGCGTGCCCGCCTTGAAGATGCGCGCGATGCGGTTGGTCTTGGTGAGCAGCGCGGCGTACACCACCGTGAAGCAGAAGCCCGCGCCGAACCTGCCGACAGGACATCATAGGTAAAGCACACTAATCTATCGCGAGTCCGACAGGACACGTTATAAATACGAGGGAGGAAAAATAGGTCGTTCGTAATAAATTTGTTGTCGGGGCTCTTGGGGATCGTTCAGAAAGTACGTCCGTTTTTCACAGATTCATTCGGCAAATTATGAGAGCTCGGCGCCTGCGAGACTCGGGGTAGGCCAACCCGCTGTGCGCGCGTGCACTGCAGGCAAGATGTTGCCTACCTACCAGGCGTCATAGGAGCTTGCAGAGGCTCAACTGGGCGGGAACTTGGCAACGGACGGAAGCACTTTCTGGCTGACCCCTTCCCCTTACCTCTGGACGCCGCAGACCACGTCCGTGGGCCGGAGCACCAGCGCGAACGTGACGCAGTAGCACAGCATGATGCCGGTGAGCAGCACATACGACAGCTCGCGGCCGGCCGCGCGCACCACGGGCGTCTCGTGGTGGCGCAGGAAGACGCCGCCGACGAAGAGCGTGACGAGGATGCCGCACGACGAGAACGACATGGCGCCGATGGCCCAGCCGCTGTCGGGCCGCAGGAACACCTCCGGGATCTCCTGGCACCACGTCTTGTTGGGGTCCGGCACCGTGCCCTCGATGCACGTCTGGCACAGCGTCTCGTCGAAGGGCGACCGGATCTGGCGCACGAGGGCATAAGCACATCGTCGTGTAAGGGCCGTCCACCTTAAGCCCCCCCGAGGGCGGGACTGCTCGGCGTGTTCGTGTGGAGTCTCAGCAGAGCCCCCACTTCCTCAGGAGGCTCCCGGCTAGGTAGGGAGTTCCTGTTTATATCGCCGCCACTGTTGTGGCCAAGTTTACCTCCCGCCCCGCCTCGGGCGGAGCGCGCGCGACGAGCACGGCGCGAGCGTGAGGCCCTGGAACAGGAGGCTCTGGAGCAGAAGCAGGCGCGGCGCTATCCTCGATTTTATGATTTTCTTTAGGGCGGAATTATTATGTAGCAGAGTGGCGGGCGGGTGGTGGAGGCAGGCGGGGCGGGCCAGGTGGGCTGCCATCTGAGACTGCCGGGGCGCTCAGTTGGCTTTATTATTTTTTTTATTTCGCCCGTATGGCCCTCATCCTGCCTTCTCCAGGCCTCTATTCGTCTCCTCGAGAGTGTCGGCAAGCGCCCGCCCCGCGGCCAGGGCCGAGTCTCTCTCCCCCCCTCACAAGGGAAGGTTTTTAGGTGGTACACACCAATTTCGTTGGGCGCGATACATATTGCAGGGGACATATGTAGATTAAGATTCGCACCAGTTTTAGCTGCCCATACTCTGTTTTTCGTTTGTTTTGGACAATTTTTAGTAAGAAAACATCATAAAAGCAGCAAAAATGTGATCTTCAAATGCCCATATCTCCGGAACCGTTTGAGCTACACCGCCCAGATTTTGCACAGA